CCCGAAAACCCTTCAGCAGTAGAGACTCAGGGCCCCTCCCCTGTCCTACCTGCAGTGTCCAAAGCCGACTGCTATGTGCAGCTGCGGCTGCCCACAGCGTCCCCCAGCCCGGCCCGGACAAAGGCGGTGGCCAACTGCAGTGACCCGGAATGGAACGAGACCTTCCACTACCAGGTCCACGGTGCTGTTAAGGTGAGGGCCAACGAGGGGTGGGGGTTGCAGAGGGAGGGAGAGGGCTCTTGCAGGGTGCCTCCTTCCTGCCCTGCTCAAGAGCCGGCCCCCTCCTGGTTTGTTCCCAGAATGTCCTGGAGTTCACCCTGTATGACGAGGATGTCCTGGCCAGTGACAGGCTCTCTGTGCTCCTGTATGACCTGAAGAACCTCAAGCCAGGCCAACTCCACAGGCACACATTCCCCCTCAACCACCAGGTGAGCCCACTCCCTAGCACTGGCCATGGGCTGAGCTCACACACAGGCAGCACAGAACTGGGGAGCCATGAGGGGTTCGCAGACCTCTAAGACAGACACTCCTCTGCCTGCACCACTCACCTTAGGAGGATTTCCCTCCAGTTCTTCTCAGTGTGGAACTGGGGGGCCCAGCTCCTGGAGGGCGGAGTCTTGCCTGTCTTGGTCTTGGCTGAATCCTCAGTGACATAGGGATCAATGAAAGTAAAGTTAGGCCCTGTGTGGAGGTGCCACTGCCCCCCACTCCCACTCCCACCATGCCCCACTGTGTCCATCAGGAATGACAACAGGGCTGGGTTGGGGTTCAGGACACCAAGACAAAGGGAGGGAGCTTCCTGAGCCTTCCAACCTCCCTTGTCAATGGGGATGCCCTGCCTGCTCTCTGTAGGATTCCCAAGAGCTGCAAGTGGAATTTCTGCTGGGCGAGAGGTGAGTCCCTGTGGAACCCATACCTTCCCGGTTGCTCTGAGGCTCCTGGGGAATCAAGTTTTGGCGGCTCCCAGCTCCCAGTCACCATGCCCTGTGCTGGCCTGGCAGGCCTGAGGAGAGATGGCTTGCCCTTGAAGTTCATGAGGTGTTGGCCGATAGGCTCACCCTACTCCCCCAAGGCTGACCACACTCCCCAGGCTTTGCCAGCTGCTGGAGTCACATTATTATAGTGACTGTTGTCAGGAGGTGGCCAGTGAGGGGCCTGCTGTTCCATAGCCCCACATCTTTTGCAGCCAGGTGCCTGCCTCTGAGGTCATCACCAATGGGGTTCTGGTGGTAAGTAGGGATGGGGAGCCTGGGGCTGGGGGCAGGCAGTGAGGGGTCCATGCCTGAGCCCAAAGGTGCCTAGCCTCAAGCCTCTGAAAGAGACTCAACCTCTCCTTGGAGGTTGATGTGTTAGGAAAGCCCTCCAGCGATGGGGGGTAAGCGGGACCAGGAAGCTGCTTAACACCTACATGCACAACTCAGAGTCCAACCTGCCTGCTATGGGGTAGCACACTAGACTGCCAGAGCAGCCACTGTCATGGTCCCTCACCCCAGCTCACCTGCTTCAACCAGGCACCCCTTCCTCTGAGTCCTGGGAGAAGGGGCTGCGTGAGACAGGAGCTCGTTGCAGAGACCCCTGCCCTGGAAGGCCCTGCTCCAGATCCCCCTCTCCCCTCCATCCTGGCTCAGGCCACATGGAGGGGTCCTGAGGCTGTTGGCTCCTGCAGGCCTCTGTTCCCTCAGGCGCAGCCCTGCCTGAGAATCCAGGGTACCCTCGGGGGACATGGGACAGCTCCCTGCCGAGAGTATGGTGAGTCTGGCTAGTGGTCTTGGGTCTTGCCTGCTCTCCCGGGGAGTAGTGATTTCAGGAGGGGGGTCTGAGAGAGGAATGCCCAAGATTATTGCTATTCAAAGCCGACTGAGGTTGGGACAGGTTTTGCCCCTGGACAAGTCGTCAGAGGATGATGGCTGTGCTACCAGGAACCAGATTTCAGCGGCATTCTGCAGTGAACATTTATTCAGCCCACGGACCTGGTGCTTGGCTGGGATCTGCCTGATCTAGGCTGAGCGGGGCTGGGGGTGGGGGGACCTGGCTTGGCCCTGGCTCAGCCCATGTGTCTTTTACCCACCTCCTGCCCCCAGTGGGTTAACCTGGTCATGTTCTTAAAGTAACAGCAGAGGCGCAAGTGAACAAACTCACACCTCTGTGGTTGCGTAGTGGCCGGCTGACTAGCATGTTATTGGCCCAAACAAGTCACATGCTGAGCCCAAAGTTGGGAGTCAGAGGGTACACTCAATTCCTTTAGAGGGAGGAGCTGAAAGCCACAGGGCAAAGAGTGAGATGGCTGGGAGAAGGGACTTGGGGTCATCGGGGTCTTCTAGCAGGCCGCTTAGGGCAATGGTTCTCCATCTTCCTTCCTCCGAGACCCCCGGGGCAGCCGAGAGGTTTGAACTGAAGATCTTTGGGCCAGCAGCCCAACGCATCATAGACCCACTCTGCCCACCAGGGCTCCCTTGAGCTGATTCCAACTCACAGTGACCCAATATGGGGTCTCCAAAACCATATGGCGTGACCACAGGAGCAGAGAGCCTCCGCTTCCCCCGACGGGGCATGCCTGACCGCTGACTGAAAGGCCGGCACCTTGGCCCTTTGGCGAGGCACTTGGCTAGTACGAGGAGGAGCTGAGATGGGATTCGGAAATGGAAATGCACTTTGTATAGAAAACCTGTAAAACCAGAAACCTGATCTGGCTCTGCCTGCCAATGACTGTTCTTCTTTGTCTCCAAGGAGGTTTCGTGGGGTTTCCACATCCCCGGAATGGAATAGCCCGTGACTGTTTTTATAGTCACTAAGCGATGACACCCCCCCCCACCTTAGTCCACAAGGCAGGCACTCCCATTGCTAAGTTCTAACTATCTTCCCTCCCTGAGCAGCACCCTGCAGAATGTTGTTTGTGAGGGTAATCCAGCCCCTAACACATCATCACAGGTCCAGTAGGTGTAATTGTACAGCGATAATAAGTAAAGATTATAGTAAGGTCATAAAGAGCATAAGAGATAGAAGAGATAGAGAAATAATGGAATCAGACACATTTCATGGTAGCAAATGCTCACCTCAGCCTCACTTGGTGGTCCACGTGGAGAGAGATATTTAATGCTAACCAAGGCTTTTATATTCTCTGGGGACATGCAAGCCCCCTTATTACAGGTGAAGACATATAGGCAATACAGTAATGGAAGGGGGGTGGTCTAGGTGTATACATGCCATAGGAAAGGGAGGGATTGGGGGTATGCATGTGGTAAGATGGGCGGATCCTAGATTCAGGATGGCAGCCTAACTTTGGATGTCACTGAGCGGGTTTGACCTGTTCCCTGGCTCAACTATAGAGACCATTATCAGTAGGGAACTTGACAATTATTTACCATTAGCTGCAAGCAGTGTCCTATTTGGTGGAGGTGACTTGGGAGAAATCTTTCTGTTTCCCACAGTTGTTAACTGGTTTCCAAAGAAGCTTTAAGTGATCCATCTCTCTGGCTTGTTCCCCAAGATCCTTCAATCAAACCGTAGGCCACCTCCAGAGTGCCCACCTCCCCCAGATAGCCCATCATGGCGAGATTCCACCTGCATCAAGAATTGATTCATGAATAACCCCGGACCATTTCCCTCAGCTTCACTTCCTTATTCCGTTGCTGCCCTTGAGTGATCCCTCAGCGAAGTCTGCGGGTCCCTCATGCAGATCTGTTATATCAGTGGTTGTCTTTGTCTTCACTAAAAGCTCTTAGCTGAATTTAAATCTGGGCTCTTCCCCCTCCCCACAATTCAGCCATCGCCATGGGGAGCACAGTTCTGCCGAGATGCCAGTGTCATTCCGTTCTACAGCAGCTGTTTTTTAATGCATGAACCAAGGCCCAAAGAGCAACCTGCTTTAGGTCACACGGCCAATAAGTGGCAGAGGCTGGGCCAGCCAGACCAGTGGCGTCCCAGGCCCACGGTCTGACACTCAAGATTATGCATCTCTTCTTGCTAGGAACGTTGTTTTGGGGAGCTGTTGAGTTGACTTCCTCGCACAGTGGCTCCGTAGGGTGGAGTGGCATCGGGTTTCTTAGGCTTAACTAGGCCCTGGAGCAGATGGGTGGCTCTTTTTCTCCCAGAGTGGTGGGTGGGTTTGTTAGGGACCTGGAGCGATTTCCCCTTCAATGGAACGAGATCAAACACAAGGCGGCTATACAGAGAGGCCCCTTTTATTATGCAGGCTTAAGCCAGGGCTCCAGCCCTCAGGTGCTTAACCGGGCACCATCTTGGGCTAGAGCCTCAAACAAAAGAAATTCTTAAGTATATATCTGCGAGGTACATAATGGGGCGTTATCAGCCCCCCCTCCCCCCATCAGTCCACTGATTGGCTCGTTGAGGTAGGTTGGCCGTCTGGTTCTTTGTGTGTAGTTCCCGTGCTGGCCGGTTAGTCCTCCCTCGCGGCGGTTGGGCTTTTCTTGCTGCTCCCGGATTGGCTAACCTCAGTCTCTGGGTACATCCTACTTTGCACTGCTAGGAAACATGAAACCACAGCCTGCCCGAGATGGCAGTACCAGTCACGGGGGCAATCTGGCTTTACAGGCTCAGGCAGCTGACTCTGGTTAGCAGCTGACCACTTAACTATTGTGACGCCAATGAGCATCAAATGTCAACCTCAGTCTCTAAAGCTTGGTCTTGCCAAGTCTTGGGGGCTCACTGTGAAGCTGGGGAGAGGGTCCCATCTGGACCTCTGCTCTCCAGTGTCTGCTGCCCCTGGTTCCCAAGGCAACACAGTTTGCTTCCAGGTGACACTTAAACTCAAGTAAACCAGACTCCCTGCCATTGAGTCCATTCTCATGCATCGCAACCCTATGGGCAGAGTAGAATTGCCCCTAAATCTTTAGGGGAGCAGGAAACTTCCATCTTTCTGAGGGTGGTTTTGAACTGCTAACCCTGTGGTTAGAAGTCCAACTTATAACTCTGTTATGTTACCAGGGCTCCTCATGCCACACCCAGGTCTGTGGTGAACCTGCCTGTGGTCCCTCCCCCTAGATGTCATTCACAGGCTTTTCTCTGGGGTTCCTTCCCTCCCTCCCTCCCTCCTTCCCCAGAAAGCTGCTAGGAAGCAGTGCAAGGTCCCTGGGTCTCCTCTGCCCATAAATCTCCCCCTCCCTCTCTCTCCTCTCTGTTTCCTTCCTCCCAGTTTGCCCTCTAGCCTGAGCTGCTTCTCCCCTGTCCTCCAAAACATACCGTTTCTCTCTTCCCATTAATCCCCTCTTCTCCTCTTTCGTCTTTTCTAAGCCTTGTCTCAAGGCCCTATGCTTTGGGAAGCCAAGCCAGAATGACCTGCAGTCTACTTCTGTTTAGTTTTTGTTTTTTCTCCCCTGATCCCATGCCTCCCAGGGCAATAAGTCCAGAGCTTGAATGGGAACAAGAGAGGGAGAAATTATCAGTTGAAAACTGGTAATATAATGATAAGTTGTTATTAGTCAACGTGTTAAGCACATATTTATTATATTATACTATAGGATTACACTATGTGTGATTTAGAGTGAATAGATGAGTTGTAGGTATTCTTTTAATCACTGATGTCATATAATCTATAAAACCAAACCCACTGCGTCAAGGCCACGTTGGTTCTGACTCACAGCGACTCTGCAGGACAGAACAGAAGGGCTCCCAGGGTTCCTGAAGCTGTAACTTAAAAACAGACAAACATTTTAACAGTTTTAGTGACATAATTCAGTCATTTAAACCTATGACACAGAGTTTAGTAGTCATCACCACAATTTATTTTAGAACAGATTCTTCATTCCTGTACTTATTATTATTAATTCCCCATCTCTCCCCAACCTCCCTTGCCTAAGAAACTGTTAATCCAGTTATTGTCTCTATAGATTTACCTCTCCTAGGTTTCATATAAAGAAAAGCACTCAACAAACAACATCAACAACAATAATATAAAACAGAAAAACCTCAAATGAAAAGAAAGCAGAAAATAAAAAAATAAAACTTAAATGGGTATCAAAAGGGAGAACAAATGATAAGGTGCTAAATTTTAACCAGACTACAACTGTATTTGTTTGCTTTTCAATGTATTCTGTCTGAGGGCAAGGCTATTCGCATCTCTGGAGGCTTAGTAATCCACGTGGATATCATGCGAGTGAGTTTTAGGTTTTCACTGTCATCCATAGCCTTTTGCAAACTGGGTGCTCAGAATTTAAGCTCTAATACAATTCCCTCCTCCAATCTTGGGTTTTATGATTTACAATCCTTGGATCACACAGACTATTGTGCTTCTTCCTTGATGACTATCTTCCTCTCACACAGCGGCTGGTGGGTTCAAATCATCTGTCCTTCAGTTAGCAGCCAAGCACTATACTACAGTGCCACCCAAACTCCTTCATATCATATGGTATATACTATTATATAACTGTATCGATGCAGTGTATGTCAACTATATTTATAATTACAGAATTAGGTAAGTATATATACAGTACTCATAGCACAAATGTCTTCTGAGTTTGTTTGCTAACCTCACTCTCCTGCAGCGAGGTTGTGTTTAAAAACTGGCAGACCTATTTGTCATTTCTGACTCAGAGCGACCCTTTGGACAGCCAAACAAAACACTGCCCAGTCCTGTGCCAGCCCCACCCCACAATGGTTATGTTTGAGCCAATTGTTGCAGCCACTGTGTCAATCCATCCTGTGGAGGGTCCTCCTCTTTCTCCCTGTCCCTCTACTTTACCAAGTAGGATGTTCTTTTCCAGGGACTGGTCTTCTGGACAACAGGTCCGGAGTAAGTGAGATGAAGTCTTAACCATCCTCACAGCTAAGGAGCATTCTGGCTCTACTTCTTCCAAGATAGATTTGTTTTTTCTTCTGGCCGCCCCTGGTACTTTTAATAATCAACACCATAATGCAAGGGCTTCAATTCTTCTTCAGCCTTCTTTATTCGTTGTCCAACTTTCACCTGGATCGGAGGTGGCTGAAAACACCTGGCCCGAGGCAGGCATACCTTAGTGCTCAAAATGACATCCCTGCTCTTCAACACTTAAAAGAGGTCTTGAGTAGACAGATTTGGCCCCATACAGTGTATGGCTGCTTCTATGAGCATTGATTGCGGCTCCTAGCAAGATGAAATCCGTGATGATGTCTGTCTTTCCTCTGTTTGGCATAGCTGTAACTAGATCAAGGGACGTGTATAAAAAGACAGCACCTGGTGGCACTCTCCAGTAAAGGTTGACAGCCTTGGAAACCCTACACAGGTCACTAGAGTTTGGAATGAACATTGGGTTTGATTTATAACTGTATAAAGAGCCCTGGGGGTGGAGTGACGTAGTGTTGTGCCCCTATTATTGCAGCATATAAAATGCATATTTATATGTGTAGTAAATATATATTAGTAAAATACTCATCTCAAAATCCCCAGCTATCTGCTATCTGCCTTCTCCCTTGTCAGACTCTGGCTGATCCTCCCTGCCTGTCCCCTTCCCCAGGCACTTTCCTGGTCTGATCAGCACAGTAGTGAGGCCCCAGGATGCTTTACCAAGGGTCACACTGCTAGAGTGAGAACAGGCTGGGAATCTGGGTGTTACCACTCTGGGTCACACCCACACGCCCACTCTCAGCCCCTTCCCTGGGCACTCACCTGGGCCCTCTGCTAGCAGGCCATGGGCAGATCCAGCTGACAGTGCCTGGAGCCTTCGAGAAGCCCCAGCTCTTGCCCTTGCAGCCTGCTGAGGGGGTGGACTCCCCAACCACCTTCACCTTCCATGTGAACCCAGTGCTAAGCCCCAGGCTGGATGTGGAGCTGGGAGAGAGGCTCACTGTCCTGCAGGTGAGTGAGTACTTTGGCCCCGGGAGCCTGTCCCAGGGAACAGGACTGGGTAGCAAGGAGTCCAGACAGGAGGTGCGATCCAGAGCTCAACGCAGACCCATGTTCCTCCAGCCTGAGCAGATGTGTTCCTTTCCCAGGCTGGCCCGAGTGCCGAGCTGGAGACGCAGGCCAGCACGCTGGGCGAGGGGAGCATCCTCCTCTCCTCTTTGCCCCTAGGCCAGGAGGAGCACCGCTTCATGACCCTGGGGGAGGTAAGGCTCTGCCTGGGGGCTGGAGGGATCTGTGGGAGAGACCCCGGAAGGGTCAGGGTGAGGTGTTCAGATCTGAGCCCGAATTGGCAGCACACCAGGGGCTGGCCGGAGGGAGCTCAGCTGAAGTGGTTGCTCAGGGCTGGGGCCATTGTGTTTTTCAGGGCCAGGAGGTGGCTCTGCGTTTGAAGGCAGAAATGAGGTGAGGGGGGGCTTCAGGAAGGAGGCCTCCCTCGGGAGCAGGGGGGCGCTTGGCTGCAAGTGCGGGGACATGTCCTTGTGTGTTCTGCCCTCCTGCCCACCTGACTCAGCTCCCCCTGAGGGTCTTCCTGAAGGTGAAAGTGGGCAAAGGGGCTTGGTTTGAGTCTCTGAACAGAACAATCACCATGCCTCTCCGC